CTCTTTCAATCAATGTGGTGAAATACATCAATAAATGTTCTAATCTTTATTTTACCTCAGTTTTTCGTGCTGTATTCGATTCCTAGAATTCCCAGAGCTAGAGTAACAAAATGCCACCAACTTGGTGATCTAAAACAACAGGAATTGCCAGAACCGGTTTGGCTCAGTGGATAGAGCGTCGGCCTGCGGACTCCCGGGACTCCCGGGACTCCCGGGTTCGATTCCGGTCGGGGGCATGTGCCTTGGTTGCGGGCACATCCCCAGTAGGGGGCGTGCAGGAGGCAGCTGATCGATGTTTCTGGCTCTCTGTCCCTCTTCCTTCCTCTCTGTAAAAAATCAATAAAATGTATTTTTAAAAAAATACTAATAATAAAAAAAAAATAAAACAACAGGAATTTACCTGGACAGCTCTGGAGGCCCCAAATCAAGGCACCCATAGTCCCACCCTCCCTTTGAGGGCTCGAGGGGAAAATCCTTGCCTCTTCCAGCTTCAGGTGGCTCTAGGCATTTTTTTTTTTTAAATCCTCACCCGAGGAAATTTTTTTCCCATTGATTTTTGATTTCCAGAGAGAGGGAAAGATAGAGAAAAATACCGATGTGAGATTGGTTGCTTCCTGCATGTGCCCCGAGGGCCCTGGTGGGGGAGGAGTCTACAACGGAGGTAGCTAACTTGAGATCTGAATCAAACCTGGGACCCTTCGGTCTGCCCCCGCAGACCAGTGCTCTATCCACTGAGCCAAACCAGCTAGGGGCTCCAGGCATTTCTTGGCTGTGGTTCCATAACTCCAATCTCTGCTTCTGTCTTCACATGGCCTTCCTTTCTCTGTCTCTCTTCTGTGTCATAAGAACACTACTCATTTGATCTGCAGCCCACCCAGATAACCCAGAATGATCTCAAGGTCCTTAATTACATCTGCAAAGACACTTTTCAAAAAAACTGCACGTTCATAGGTTCATTAGGGTATAGATACAGCTTCTTGGGGGCCACCATGCAATCTGCTACACATGCCCATAGAGGAACAACTGAATGATGTTCTAAGGCTTTTTTTTTTTTTTTTTTTTAAGCAACCTGCTCATTTCTCTTTTCCCCGAGATAGCCAATTCCAAATCTTTTTGCTATTTTTTGAGTTATTTTGCTCTTAGTATTTATCATCTATTTCCAAATCACATGCTTCTGTTGCTATTTCATAAATCTTCAGTTTTAGGTATTTATTACCTATTATTTACCAGCTATAAAATTTAAGGACTGAACTCTTTTACCCCTCTGCCACTATGTATATGTTCACAGGTTCTGTCCTTGCACCCTTTTGATGTAGTTACATCATGCTTTTGGTTAGATTTATTCATTGGACAATAGTTATTGAGTGCCTTTGACATCCCAGGCTCTTGAGCAGTGAATAAAGGAAAAAATCCTCTCAGCTCATGGGCTTTGCAAATCTAGAGGACCCATGTCCGGTGTTTGGATTATCATGAGATGCTAGCCAAGCTGACTCATGTGGCATTCTAGTATTTTTTCTTTCTTGTACAGCTGTTGACTGTCCCTGAAGTTGTCTTATTTGCTCATTTTCCTATGTATAGGTCACTAATCCATCTCCAACTTCTCCTTCAGTGTGAGCACTTTAAAGCTGTCAACATCCATCAAAGTGTCATTTTACTGCATCACACAGGCCAGATATGGAGTACAGTATTTTGTGTTTTTCAGGTCTCAACATTCCCTAATTACCATGATGACTTCTTCTCTGATCCAAAAGTATTTCAAAGGTGTTTCAAAAATTCCAAACACACGGGCTTACCCCTACCTGTGCTCTGCCCCATTTCTCTCTTGCCCTCACCACCAAGCCTGCCAGGCAAATGCCCTGTGCTTACAACTCCTAATTCTTAGGCTCCAGGCTTCACTACCCCAGGGGTTGGGTTTGAGCCCTGTATTATCTCTAAAAACTTTTTTTTTTTAATATATTTTATTGACTTTTCACAGAGAGGACGGGGGGAGGGGGGAGGTTCATTAGAAACATAGATCAGCTGCCTCCTGCACATCTCCCACTAGGGATGTGCCTGCAACCCAGGTACATGCCCTTGACCGGGATCGAACCTGGGACCTTTCAGTCCGCAGGCCGACGCTCTATCCATTGAGCCAAACCAGTGTCTTTCAGCTCTAAAAACTGTTAACTTACACAAATTAAATGAGTTCATTCACATAAATAATATAAGGTGAAATTCCACTACTAATACCAGTTTGGTAACATCTTTCTAGTCTTCCTTTCCATTTACATTCATATCCATATTATCCATATACTTCTAGAAAACAGCATTTTTGCCTTTAGCATGTGAGATTTCTTTAAATAGTATTGACCTGTATGTACTGTTTTGTCACTTCCTTTTGGTCCTTATGATGCCTTAGAACAGCGGTTCTCAACCTGTGGGTCGCGACCCCTTTGGCGGTCGAACGACCCTTTCACAGGGGTCGCCTAAGACCATCCTGCATATCAGATATTTACATTACGATTCATAACAGTAGCCACATTACAGTTATGAAGTAGCAACGAAAATAATTTTATAGTTGGGTCACAACATGAGGAACTGTATTTAAAGGGCCAGAAGGTTGAGAACCACTGCCTTAGAAGGTTCTCTATGACAGTTCAGATAGATGTTTTGTAAAACTGCCATATTATAACACTTAAGATGCAGGTTCCTAGGTTTTTAAGAAAGCTATTCTGTTGATGGAAACGTAGACTATTGTCAGTGTGTTGTACTATGGCCGTGTCTTTTACGCCTGGGGAATGTCCAATAGATTTTGCCCAGTTGCTCTCCAAAGTGGTGGGGCAACTCACACTCCCGCCAGCACTAAGGTAGTGTGCCCACTTTCCTGCACCCCTGTCAGGGGTGTTGGTTTTCCACTCCCCAAGTCACCAAAGCTCCTTAGGCATGCCATATCTGCTCCCATCTCAGGGTCTGTCTAGAATGCCATTGGCAGCCTATTTTGAGCCTGAGTCCATGATGATTTTGTTGAGTTACGAAATTAATCAAACTTGGCTTTAGAGCATCGTCCAGTACACACACACACACGCACACACACACACAAAATTGCATGTTTGATCCCTGGTCAGAGCATCTCGATGTTTTTCTCTCACATTGACTTTTCTCTCTAAAAAAAATCAATTAAAAAAATATCCTCAGGTGAGGATAAAAAAATAAATGGATGAACCCTGGTGTCCTTGGCCATTTTTCTAATATATGTGTCTTTTGCTAGTTTACTTGTAAAGACAAGGGGTATTAATTTGTCATATACTGCCAATATTTTTTTTTCCTGTGTCTAACAGAAAGTTTAGAGTGGTTTTCTTTGTTGGCGTTTTCAGTTTTATGTTGTCAAGTATACCATCTTTTTCCCTTATGGTATTTGACTTTTGGTTTTTCTTTTAAAAATCTTTATCACCCCAAACATAAAATTGTGATCAAAATGGAAATTCTTTTGGTGTAAGGAATAAAATAATTGTTTTTTGTTTTGTTTTAGTTCCAATACCTGGTCTCATACTAAACTCCCATATACAGGGATTGCAGTTTGTAAGAAAAAAATATGGTCCTAACTGGTTTGGCTCAGTGGATAAAGCATCGGCCTGCGGACTGAAAGGTCTCAGGTTCGATTCCGGTCAAGGGCACATGTCTGGGTTGTGGGCTCAATCCCCAGTGGGAGGCGTGCAGGAGGCAGCCTATCGATGGTTCTCTCTCATCATTGATGTTTCTATCTCTCTCTCCCCCGCAATTCCTCTCTGAAATCAATAAAAATATTAAAAAAAAATATGTTCATTTATGGGGTAGCAGGCAAAACATGGGCCTTTAACAAAACACTTGTCCCTGATTGCAGCAAAAGTCACCCTTCTCTAGCTCCTGGCACTGTGTAGTAGTACAGGCCTTTTAGGTCAAAATATTCTATAAATATTGAAAAGAGTATCCCAAAGCCTCATAAGCAGTGTGCATATGTGTGGAAATATGCGTCACATCAGACACCCAGGAGTGACCAACAGTGTGTGACAGTGACAGGCAAACAGGAGGAGGTGAGCCACTTCCCAGCAGCCTGCATGCAAGAAGTGGCAACGTTTACCCGTCAAAGTCCGGGAAGTAAGTAAGTAAGTAAGGCTTTGCAGGCCACACGGCCTCTGCTGACACTACTAAACTGCCATGTGGCACAAAAGCGACCACAGACAGTACATAAACCAGTAAACATGGCTGTATGACAAAATTTTATGGACATTAACATTTGAATTTCTTATAATCATACGAACTTTCACATTCTTTAGATTATTTTTCAACCATTTAAAATGTTTTAAAAAACCCTCCCAAATTACACTTTGACAACAAACACGTGTCAGCCACTTCAGTATTGTAAATACCCTTGAATGTAATACATATGGCAAGAAATAACAGGACTTGTCATTAAACTTTAGCTACATTGAGTTTTAAGAAATAAGATTTGAAAAATAAGAACCTTAACACTTAAGCATGGAATAGAGCTTGCCAGTCTTTTTCTCCATTACAAGGTAAAAATTGTCTCTTGATATTTCTGTTTATCTAGCTTAGGAAGTTTTAACTTAATAAAAAAAAGCAAGAGCAAGTGTAAATCCCGGAGGTGGGAGCATGTCTGAACCGTGAGGAGGAAGCCAGTGTGGCTCCAGCAGGACCAGTAAAAGGGGAAGAGAGGAGATCAGAATGGTACCAGGGCTCTGGCCTGCATGTAGGGACACTCACTTACTGAATATGTATCCAGCGGCAAAATCCCAAGCCATCCTCCAAGGGAAGAGACTCAAACCTGGAGGGAGCAGGAGAAGGGACAGAGTGGCGAGAGCACAGGAAAGCCCTTAAATCGGCCTTGCTGTCCATTAGTCGCTCTGAATGGTTCACCTGCTAGGTCTGTGAGCCGAGGACGGCGGTACGAACCACACATGTACTGCTGAAGTTGTTTTCATCCTGATGCACTAGAGGCGGTTCAATCCCGATGGTCCGAGCAGGACACACTACGTATTTCCATCCCAACAATCTCTCTCAGGTCCTCCAAGTCGGAGGCTTACACGTGCGGTTGCTAAGCAACGGCTGTGGGCGTGGCCCTTTGGGCATAAAGAGTCGGAGCCCCGCCCTTGGCGGACGCGGGTATTTCAGGATCTTGCTCTTTCAAGTCCTCCCCCTCAACTTTCTCAATGGGCGGGGCTACGACGGCAGCTGTCACCTCCTCTCCGCCCCGCTGGCTCTCACTTGTGTCCGGGTCTTCGATAGCAGCTCTTTTTCCGGGACTTCCTGGTCGCCGTGACCAATCAGAGTGTTGTTTCCGTCCTTGCCGTGGTCGGCCCGCAGGCCTCGGCGCTCCTCTACCTACGCCTCTTAAAGGCGCCGCCAACGCCTCGGGAGCCCGGGCGCACCAATTCCTCGGTTCCTGTTCCCAGCTGCAGTATGGAGGCGTCCCACGGGCGGCCTGGGCCCGAGTCAGACCTTCTGACTTTGGGGAGACAGCGAGCCGCGGTCTTCGGCGGCGGGCCGGGCCGAGCGCCTTCTGAACCGCCCGCAGGCTTCCGGGTGTCGCGAGAGGAAGAAGCCGAGAACGTTGGAGGCTCGAGCCGCCACGCCAGGGCGTCCCCTAAGACTTCGAGCTACGGCGTCGTCCACTGGCCCGGACCGGAGGCTCCGGAGAACGAGGTCGGCCGCACAGTGATGCTGTGTGGACCCGGGAGCCACCCGGGAGCGCCGGATCCCGAGCACAACCCGCACGGGTCTTCCATCCGCCAGGACCCCGAGCCGCCCGAGGACAAGCCTGTGTCCGAAACGATCGGCCGTCGAGGAGGCCCGGGAGGCGGCGGGATGGATGTTGAGCCGGAGGAGGAAGACGACGAGGGGGCGGCCGGCCGGGCTGGCAGATCGTTCTCCAGCCGACTCCAGGACAGCCGCAGCCTGGACGGGCTGAGCGGGGCGTGCGGCGGCGGCCCTGGGTCCCCAGCGGCTGCGGAGTCCGGCGCGGGTGGCGGGCGTCGCGCCACCATCTCCAGCCCCCTGGAGCTGGAAGGCACGGTGAGCCGCCAGGGCGACCTCACCCATTTTGTCGCCAACAACTTGCAACTCAAGATCCGTCTGAGCAGCACCTCTCAACCCCCGCCCCCTGCTCCTGCGCCGCCCTGTTCAGCGCCCTCGTCCACCCCGGCCATCCCCCCCATCGACCCGGACGTGCTGCGGGACCTGGAGCGGCTGAGTCGGGAGCTGGGCGGCAGGGTGGACCGTCTGCTTCGCGGGCTGGGTGGCGCGGTGCAGGAGCTGACAGCCCTGAGCGTGGGCTGCATCCAGACCTACCGCGACGCCGTGGACTCCCTAGGCGAAGCCGTGGACATGAGCATCAAGGGGATGTACACCCTGCTGGCGCGCTGCGAGGAGCTGGAGAGGGCTCTGCAGCCGGTGCAGGGGCTGGCGCGCCAGGTCCGGGATATCCGACGCACCCTGGAGGTGTTGGAGGCTCTGTGCAAGTGACCAGGAGGGCGAGAGAGACCAGGCCAGGGCCCAGTAGGATCCTAAGGACTCTTCAAGATGCATTTAGCAGGCCGGCGGCCACTCGCTGGGCCGTACGCAGGTGTATCTGGGAAGTTCTAAAGGCTTTCCTGGTGGGAGGTGATGATGCTCAGCTTCTATTCAGTTGGCCATCTGTAGCTACGTTGTTTTCCTCAGCTCTTCTCTAACTAAAGCACCGTCCCTGGGAACCCAGGGCTTCAGGCCTGGGCTTGAGAGACATGCTAGGTGGGATCAAGAAAGGGGAACAGAGGCCCCAGCCCCCACTGTGGCCACTCTGACTCCAGTATCACATCTCAGGTGCCAGGAGCGATGGGAGTTTGAGAGGTCCTTGGTCACACACCGTGCAGACAAGGATGCACACCTGCAGATGGATAGCCTCCTGCCTTTGCCCACTGGCCCCCTACCATCCCGTTTCAGCCAGACCAGGGTGGAGCTAGAGGAATGCATTGCATGGTAGAGGGGGTGAGTTGGGAGTGGTCTCACTGCTCTCAGGATTCAGTAGAATTGTTGCTGGTTTTGAAGCCCACCTGTTGTGGAGTGTTCTAATCAGTTTTAACTTTCTGAGTTTTTGTGGAATTAAAGTGCTGCTGCTGCTGCTGCTAAGGCTGAAGCTGTGTCTGTGTGGCGTTACACGGATTGAGGAGCCAAAAAGAATGGGAATAAGGGTCGGTCTTTTTCGTGGAGCTCCCTTGGGGTCGGTGCTGGGAGTGAGGTGGGGGACCCAGGCCAAGTGGGGAAGGATATCATTCCGGCTCTTAGGCGTCAGGTCTGAGGGGAACTGCAGGACACAAACATGACCCAGAGATCCGATAAAAGCAGAAACGAAGCAAGGTGCTCCAGAAGAGAAAAGGAAGGGATTGTCTTCTCAGATGCTAACACGCCTTAGTCCGGGAGGGACTGGGTGAACTGGACATTTTATCTGTGGAGAAAGATGGGGGACACTTGTTAGCTCCATTCCTGATCCCATTTCCCACACTGCACTGATCAGTGCCGCATGTATGGTTTGAGACAATCTTTGTTCCAACCCCTGGCACCCTTCTGTTTACAGCTCACATAGAAAGTTCCAGCAGCCACCATGTTATGATCAGATTTAGAAAGAGATCACAGAAAGACATCCAGTTTTGTTTTAAAACACTAGCACTTTGAACTGTGCCTCAACAAGTTTCCCTTTTGAATGTAAAGAATTCCGGGGGTGGAAATGTTCTAGGAGCCTTTTTAAATTCAACCAGTGAAAACTGTTAAAAAGGATTACTTACTGGCCCGTACGGGGATCGAACCCGCGACCTTGGCGTTATTAGCACCACGCTCTAACCAACTGAGCTAACCGGCCAGTGGTGCTCTGGGCTTCCATATAATACTATATAGAATTTACAATGCGTTCTGCTGGAAAAATTAAAGAATGAGTAAGAATAAACAGAATTCGAAGACTAAATTACCAAACATTACAAGTATAAGCTGCTCTTCTCGCAGTCTCAGCAAAAGACACTACCCACTGAGGCACCGCTGGGATTCGAACCCAGGATCTCCTGTTTACTAGACAGGCGCTTTAACCAACTAAGCCACGGCGCCTAGTGCTGCGGCATGTGGGAACCTCATTTCTTGGCCAGGTCAGCTCCAGAGCAGGTAAGTTAATGTCCAGTGCTGTTTTAGAACCAATTTTGCCCAAACCGGAAAATGCAGAAGGGACGAAAACCCCAACTGTTAGCGAGAATGAACGAGTGACACGGAAATTGAATGTGGGCAAACGGAAAATAAGAGAAATTCTTACTTTCGGATTACAAAATTTGACATAAACGACTTAGATCGACGAGGATGGGATTCGAACCCACGCGTGCAGAGCACAATGGATTAGCAGTCCATCGCCTTAACCACTCGGCCACCTCGTCCACGAGAACTCAGCCTCGTCTGTTTCCTCTGAGGTCTGAGCTCTTACTCCACAATTAAAAAAAAAAAAATGTTGCGAATTCATTCCTTGAGATCCTGCCCAGCACTGCGGAGCCGATACGCAGAACGTTGAACTGACCGAGCTACATTCTCGCCTCGCGAGCTCCCAACTCTCTGTTCTGGGTTGAGCGCCGTCCCTACGACCCTGGACCTGCCGCAAAAAACACGCGAGATTGCTGGACTCTCTCCACGGGACGGCGGGAGACTTCGCGTCAGGAGACCTCTCCTTCCGGCCCCTACAAGGTGCTGCTTCTCCTACTTGATCGCTAGAGCTCATAGTTGAAAATGATGGAAATAAAGAAAAAGCGATCAAAAGCTTGACCCCGACGTGATTTGAACACGCAACCTTCTGATCTGGAGTCAGACGCGCTACCGTTGCGCCACGAGGTCGACCGGCCTCTGGGCTGGTCAGGTCTCCTCATAACCACTGGATGTTGTTGTTTCCAGGTGCCCGGGGTCTCAGGGATCGAAGAGCAAGAGCCTAAGGCCTGCCTGAACTTCCGGCGTCAAACTTGCGTTGTAGGGCGAGCTGGGCACACTGACCCGGCAGTGGCTTTGCGAGCTCCAGGCTCAGCAGTCCCTCCGACCCCTCCCCGGGCGCCGGTGGCCCAGAGCTGGTTACCTGGGAGACCCAGGACGCACAGCACGTCAGGGAAGGACATGCGCAAAAACGGCTGATTAATAAAATCAGTACGTGAAAAAGTGATGGGGCACTTCATACTGGTTGCCGAAATCTGAGCCCACTACTCAGATTTAACACCAGAAACAGAGAGAGGAGCAGGCATTACGTCTCTCCTGCTGTAACGGAGTAAGTACAAGCCACCACTCATGATGTATTTTTACCAGAAAGCTGAACGTGAGACTGATCTGACAACCAGTTCACAGGAAACACAGAGCACAGAGGAATAAGTCAAATAAGCCGGTCAGAACACAGCCTGTACGTGGCCCAGTGTCTCCAACAGATGACTGCAAGAAAACTAGGAGGAAGGAGGGGTGGGGAAGAGCCTAAGAGTAAGAGCGACGTATGGGGTGGGGTGGGGGCACACATGTAATGCGTTCAACAACACAGATTTTAAAGAGAGACTATGAGGCACATTGACCAAGTACAATGTGTGAACTTCATTTGGACCCTGATTCAAGCAAAGTGTAAAAATCAAAAAACAAAATATGTGAGTGGGCAATTTGAACCTATCTGGTGATATCTGGAATTTACTTCAAAATAATCGAATAGGGCTGAGAGGAAAAGGACAGAGGAAGCAAGGTAGGTCTCAAAGAGGATCGTTATATTATTTTCACTTTTACATATGTTTACATTTTTCCATGATCAATTTTTTTCTAAGTTCTTTTATAACCAGTTCAAATGGGAACATGTGGGTTCGAGAGTGTACACCCAGTCACCTGCAGTACCTCCTATGGCCACAGGCGGGCTCCAAAACTCAAGCTTTTGAGAAGATTTCTCTAGGGTACTCTCTGTGAGCCAAGGTCATGGAAAATCACAGGACAGACAGCCCTAACTGCCTGCTCACTATTAATTCACAACGTGAAATGTGACTGCCCAATTCTGACTATCTAGTAGTTCCTCTAGGCAGGAAGCCTATTATTAGGCGAATAACTCCCCAAACTTCCAGCTTGCTGGGGCCCCAAATTTGTCATCCTTGAACCCCTCCCGTTTTCTCACCTATTCACAGCCCCTTGGTCAGACCTTATCTTCTTGATTCCTTCCACTTCATTCTACCTTCTTGACCCACCCTGGTCCAATCTCATCCTAGCCTTCCTGGATAACTTTATGGCTTCTTCACTAGCCTTCTGCTTAAAAATCTTAAAATCCACTCTCCAGTCTGGCTGGTGTGGCTCAATGGTTGAACATGGACCTATGAACTAGATCATGGTTCCATTCCCGGTCATTGATGTTTCTCGCTCTTCCCTTCCTCTCTGAAATCAATAAAAATATGTGTTAAAACCCACGCTCCGTGTTGCAACCAACGTTACCTTCTAGAATACAAATCTGGCATGTCCCTCCCCAGGGCTGCAAGGCTGGAGTGATCCGACCCTCCCACCTCACCTGGGTCTTTTCTCCCCCTTCCATTGCTAGGCTTCAAACACAGTGGCTTCTGTTCTGTTCAGCAAGCTGGACTTGGGCACTTGCTGCTTCTCCACCCAGAATGCCCTTTCCCCAGATTTCACACCGGCTCCTCTTCGTTTTCTTTGTCCCGGGGCCTCTCACTGCAAAAGCAGGTCCCAGTCTCCCCGCTTCCATACCGTGCTTTTCCTCTCTGAACAGTCAGACTTGGTGAACTGCCACTGAGGGAACTTGGCTCTGAGGGCCTGGGCTTTCTATTTCCAGGAGGAAAAGCCTGTAAGTTACAGAGGGAAGAAAGGCAGGTTCAGATACGGGGTCCTCGGAAAAGCAGGGGCCGGACAACCTAGGGACACCCCCCTCTCCACGTTCGGTTCCCTAGTCTCCCCTGGCCCAGGGTAGTGGGAGGCCAGAGGGATGCGGAGGAGTTAAGGGGAGAGAGTGTCCATGCCTTGGGCATGGCGGGGCCCTAAGTGGCGAGGACAGCGGTCGGAAGCGAGCAACCCTTACGCGGAGGCATCCCGGGCCACGTAGTGGGGGCTGGAGGCTGGGGGCTGGGGGCTGGGGGGTGGGGGCTGAGGGCTGGGGGGTGGGGGCAGGGGCCGGGGACCGAGGGGTGGGGGTGGGGGCTGGGGGTAGGGGTGGGGGCAGGGGCCGGGGACCGAGGGGTGGGGGTGGGGGCTGGGGGTAGGGGTGGGGGCTGGGGGTGGGGACCGGTGCTGAGGGTGGGGACTGGGGCTGGGGGTAGGAGTCGGGGGCCGGTAGCCGGGGGCTGGGGGTGGGGGCTGGGAGTGGGGGCTGGGAGTGGGGGTGGGGGCTGGGAGCCGGGGGCTGGGGGTGGGGACTGGGGCTGGGGTAGGAGTCGGGGGCCGGTAGCCGGGGGCTGGGGTGGGGGCTGGGAGTGGGGGTGGGGGCTGGGAGCCGGGGGCTGGGGGTGGGGACTGGGGCTGGGGGTAGGGGACGGGGCCGGTAGCCGGGGGCTGGGGGTGGGGGCCGGGAGCCGGGGCTGGGGGTGGGGGCTGGGAGTGGGGGTGGGGGCCGGGGGCCGGGACTGGCGACGGGGAAGAGGAGGTGTCCCCGGGCTGGGACAGGGCGGGTTTCCGTCCGCCGCCCCGTGCGGGAGATTTGGCGGCGAAGTGCGAGTCACACCGCAGACACCGACAGCTCGGTGACCCAGAGGCTCCCAGCGGCTCGAAATTCACTGCTCTCGCGAGATCTTCAAAGATCCGGTCCGAGCGCGCCGCTTTCCGTTGTTGCCACGGCAACTGGGCGGTGCGAGTGCCCGCGGGAAGGAGGCGCCCACATTCCTCCCCGCGAGCCCAGGGGATTGAGAAGTGGCCATCCATCCCTGAGCTCCCAGCCCCGGAGGCCTCGGGCCATGGGCCGGATCTCGGGGCTCGTGCCCTCTCGTTTCCTGACGCTCCTGGCGCACCTGGTGGTCGTCATCACCTTATTCTGGTCCCGGGTAAGACCTACGACCGCCCTCCTCCCGCCGCATCCCCACTGGGGTGGCCCCTGCCCGGCCCCGCTCTCCCCCAGGACCTGAGCAGTCGGGTCCTCACACCCCTATTTTATTTTCCATTCTCTTTGCCCGGCTCGCTCTCCAGGACAGCAACATCCAGGCCTGCCTGCCTCTCACGTTCACCCCCGAAGAGTACAGGGAGCAGGACATGCAGTGAGCACTTTGGGTGGGAGTGGAGGGGCCTTAGAAGCCCAGACCCCACCCCCTGAGCCCACCCCCTTCCTCTCCGCAGGCTGGTGGCAGCGCTCGCTGTCACCCTGGGCCTCTTCGCAGTGGAGCTGGCCGGTTTCTTCTCAGGAGTTTCCATGTTCAACAATACCCAGAGCCTCATCTGTATCCTTTCCCACAGGGCCCATTTCCACCACGCACCCCCTCAGCCACCTAAGAGCCCTTTGGGGTACAATAGTGTCTGCCCTTGCAGACAAATAGAATCTCTCCAGTTTAGAGATCGTCTTAGTCAACGCAGATTGAATACAATCCGCAATCATTTGTCAAGCTCCTGCTATGCACCAGGCAATGGAGATCCCCAAATGAGGGAAAGCAGTTTTCTACCTTGAAGAGGAGGCAGACCCTATAATTCAGTGTGCTAAGCCCTGGGCTATAGAAGTGTGTGAACATATAAAGTGTGGGGAGCCGGCACGGCCATGGCATACTCATGCCAGCTCAGCCTGGTTCAGTGACCCTGAGGGGGGGCGGTGAAAGGCTTAGAAAAGACAGACAAGAGAATGAAAGCTGGGTCTCGGTGGGACGCTGCCCCTCTGATGGACAGCGCCAGTGCCCACAAGCCATGGCTTTATTTTATAGCAGGCCCCAGGAGGCAAAGTAAGGGCGTGATCAAGATGTTTACAACGTTCTCGTGGGTTTCAATCCCACTCCACTACATGCACCTGAACTCTATCACTCAGGCACGTGGGGCCACGTGTTCTGACCACAGATTCAAGCTTACAGCTATAGCTGTTGGCTAAAATTGTGCTGGGAGGGCTCTGCCTTCCAAGCTGGGACTTGCACGTGGCAACGAGAGGACTGTACCCTCTTATTAGTCCGAGGCTTGAACCTGTCCAAACACTGTAGCCGCGCCCCATAATAAAGCACTATGGGAACTCAGAAGAGACAGAGGAAGTGAGGAAGATGGATCAGAGAAGGCTCTTGACCATTGAATTGTGGGCCAAGAGGACCAGGGCGCTGGTGGGTGATTCCAGCAGAATGTATCAGGTCACTGTGAGCAATCTTGTGTGGCCTGGGGTAGAGGGGAAGCCTGTTCCTACCTCATCTGGAGAGTCCAGGCTGGCCCCTAGATATGCAATGGGGTACCCTGGAGGCCCAAATGTGCAAGCTCAGTTCTGGTCTCATGGCTCTCCTAAAACTCAGAAGGCAGGTCTGCTGGCTCTGGCCCTTGCAATTGTTGAGGGAGCAAGAAGTGACCCTGAGAGAAAAGGCCTTTTCTGGCCCATCACCACCTGTTGATTCAAAGGTTTTCCTTGACTCAGGTGCGTTACCAAGCCATCGGGGCTCACTGTAGTGCATCTGTGGCCCTCTCCTTCTTCATATTTGAGCGCTGGGAGTGCACCATGTACTGGTACATTTTCGTCTTCTGCAGGTACAGTAACAGTCAGTGTTTGGGGGTGGGGGAAGAAGGTTTACTCTAAATTTGAAGGTTTACTCCACAGGTGAGATACCAGATCCACTCCAGCTCCTGTAGTCTTTTGAAGTCCTGCCCCACCTATACTTTGGGGGTGGGGTTTTGAGGATTTTTATTGGAAAGGGCCCTAAACCTACCACCTACTTCCCACAGTGCCCTCCCGGCTGTCACTGAAACAGCATTATTCATCAGCGTCTTTGGGCTGAAAAAGAAACCGTTCTGATTACCTTCATGAGAGCATGAAGAAAGGCTGGAGGAGCATTCGCCGTTCCTGGAAGGAGGAACCCCGCCCCCCCCCCCCCCGCCCCCCCCGCCAACTCCCCCTAAAATGGCATTTGGTGGAGGATGTGTTAGAGTAATTAACTGTCGAGTTTGGGATTTACTAGCGTTTTATTTAGAGTTCTGTAATTAAATCCTATTTTAGAGTAGCCTCAAAACTTATAAAAATTTCAGGGGAGAATTGGGGTAGCCAAACTACTAGAGAAACGGAAGGCTGTTTTCCAGCCTTGTAGACTGGGAGATAATATGTACCGCTTTTATCCTGGTTATTACGGTAAATGGCGGAAGGGAGTGGGCGGAGATATGTAAATAAGTGGTGCTAACGGCTAAGACTGCACGCTCGCGAGCGGAGCATTCTGGGAGAATTTAGTTTATTCCTTTTGATTGCCAAATGGAAAAAACACAGTATTTTGAAAGATATGCAAATAAATGTAGCAACAGTAAAGGAGGAATCTGAATAACTTTAGTGCTCAGGCTAACGTGTTATGTACTCACCCTATGTTTTCGTGGGATCCCTTTCCTGGAGCCCGGAGTGCGCAGAGACCGCTTTTATCGTCAGGTAGGATAATCCTTACCTGTTCCTCCTTTTGGAGGGCAGATTGGAACATGATGATTGGAGATCGCATGATTCGTGATTAACGTCTCTGCGTAATCAGGACTTGCAACACCCTGATTGCTCCTAATCTGATTCTTCCTGACGATCTTCCCCCCTTTGATTTACGTTGGCAGTAGGGAGCTGTTTGCTAGGGTGTTAAGTGTTTGCTTTTTCATTGCTGTGGTATTTTACAGTACTTCTCCGTGGGAATTCAGTACCTTTTGTCGTAAGTTTTATATCTGAGCTACATGTTTTCGCTATTAATATTCAGAAGGAAAAGATGTGGAAAACTTGAATGAACAAAGAATCATTTTGTTTCTTTGGTTTTCTATAAAATGGTAATGTCAAGAACAACTCACAAACGTTAATGTTGATCATCCTTGGTGTCACAGATGGTCTACTGTCTAACCTTCTATCTCACTATGGCAAGCAAGAAAGGCCACCTGTTCAACGGGGATTTTCCTGGTGGTTGGAGCTCCCACCCTGAAACCTGGCAAACTTGTTCCCAGGGGAGCAATATCCCACCTCTGCCTGCCAGCACATGGCAAGAACATGTTTAAAAGGTTATTAAAACACATATACCGATTAGGTATTATACATACAAACTACAAAAGTTGTAACTTGTCACAGGATAGATGCTTCCTGGTTTGGTGTATGTTGGGAAGATGGAACCAGGACATTCTAAAAGTCTAATGGCGTCCTAAAAGATGCTTTCTGGTGTTGCCTCTCAGGTGCTGCCTCACACATACATAACCTTTCGCTGTCCATATTTTCTTCCCCTGGCAGCCCTTTCCAATAAAAATTGAGGAAATATTCTTCCAGGATTTGTAAACTATTATCAGATTTGTCTAGTGTTTTCTCATGTTTAGATTGAGATTATGCATTTCGGACAAGAATATCAAAGAAGTGACTCAAGTCACTGAGGAACCAGAAGTTTCAACATATCTTCATTGTTTCACTTTTTCTCTTACTTGAAAATGTAAATAAAAATATCAAACAACATTCATGTTGAAACTATATAAATGGATACGACTCCATTTATGAAATCATGGATATGAAAGTGAAATATAGAATAAAGAATATTGTATATTTTATTTGTGCATTGTTACATATCCATTATATTAGTGAAATTTGTAATAAACTTATATACATACATAAATGGACACTTTTTTGAAAGTTGGTTATCATTTGCCAGCACATTCCTGCCCTACCATCCCACGAAACTACTCATCATTAATTACTCCCTTGTGTCTAAAACCAGAGGTCACTTTTCAGACATTATTTTTAAAATATATTTTTATTGATTTCAGAGAAGAAGAGAGAGGGAGGGAAACATCTATGATGAGAGAGAACTGTTGACCAACTGCCTCCTGCACATCTCCTACTGGGGATGGAGCCTGTGCCCTGACATGACCGGGAATGGAACTATGACCTCCTGGTTCATAACTCAACCCTCAACCACTGAGCCATATGGGCCGGGCACTTCTTAGACTTTAGCTTGACCTCTTTTCAGCATATAACATGTTGACTACTCTTCTCTTTTGAAAAATTTTTCTCCCTTGGCTTCTGAAAATTGATTCACCTGGTTTACTTCCTACTGTTCTGGCTGCGCCTCAGACTCATCCAGTGAATACTGATTGAGGACCTACAGTGTATCAGTCATTGGGGACATAATACTGGTTTGTCTCCTTTGCTTGTCCCTTAAATGTTGGTGGTCACTACTCCTTGGTTGACTTCATCTGCCTCTTGTCTTCAAACACCAACCAGATGCTGCAGGTTTCCAAGTCTTGGCTCTCTTATGTGAGCTCTAGCCCAGGGCAAAAGCTATGGGAGCAACCTGAGGGTTCAGAGTGCACCCTCTATCCTTGGCTGTGTGATCAGCAACAGGTAGGTCGCTTAAGCTCTCTGTGCCTCAATTCCCTCATACACACTCCAGAAGTCGCTACTACAGTAGCTACTACAAGCGCTTCAACTATTTGTTTCTTAGTCAACACCAGAAGCTTTGCCAATTAGCATCAGAAATAGGTTTCCAGCCCTGCCGTGCTGGCTCAGTGGTAGGGCATTGACCTATGAACCAGGAGATCATGGTTTGATTTCCAGTCAGGGCACATACCTGGGTTGCAGGCTTGGAGGGTGTGCAGGAAGCAAACAATCAATGATTCTCTCTCATCATTGATATTTCTATCTCCCTCTCCCTTCCTCTCTGAAATCAATAAAAAAATATTTTTTTAAAAAAAAAAGAAATAGGTTTCCACTTTATTGTGAAATTAGTGGCTTGTTAATCAGAATAAGCCAATCACAAAAAGATAAATACTTCATGGTTGCACTTATATGTGGTACCAAAAGCAGTCAAATTCATAGAGACAGAAAGTAGAATGGTGGTTGCCAGGGGCTAGAAGAAAGAGGGGGAGGGAATTATTAAGGGGTACCAGTTTCAGTTTTGCAAGATGAAAGAGTTCTGGAGATTGGTTGCTCAATAATGTGAATGTATTTAACATTACTGCACTGTACATTAAAAATATAGTTACAATGGGTTAATTTTGTTATGTATTTTTACCTCAATTTTTTTAAAATAGATAATTGAAAAATAAAAATATCAGTGGTAAAAAGTGGGATTATTCAATAAAAGAACAACTGAGTAACCATCTGGAGGAAAATATGGATCAATACCTTACACAAATATTACAGGTAGATAAATGATTACATGCCCAGCTGGTGTTGCCCAGTGGTTGAGCATCAACTTATGAACCAGGAGTTCACAGTTTGATTCCCCATCAGGGTGTTTCAGACTCGCCCCCCAGAAAGGGTTGTGCAGGAAGCAGCCGATCAAAAATTCTCTGTCATCATTGATATTTCTATCTCTCCCTCTCCTTTCCTCTTAGGAAGGAAGAAAGGAGGGAGGGAGGGAGGGAGGGAGGGAAGGAAGGAAGGAAGGAAGGAAGGAAGGAAGGAAGGAAGGGAGGAAAGAAGGAAGGAAAAAGATTACAGTATAGCCCAAGCCAATGACTTAGTTGGTTGAGCATTATCCCGAATACATCCAGAGGTCACGGGGCACAAGTCCGTATTGAGGGCTCGATTCCCCCACCAATGTTCCTCTCTCTTTCCCCCCCCCTCTCAAATCAATAAGAAAACATACTTAAAAGATTACAGTATAAAAAAATGATGAACTCAAAGAAACCTCGAAGCTTTTAACCTTTTTATTTTGAATAATTTTAGACCTATGGAAACTGCAAAAATGGTACAAAGTTCCTGAGTACCCTTTACCCAGCTTCTCCAAATATTAACAGCTTGCATAGCCATCCTATCTAATAATAGACAAACATGGTAATTGACCGTACCTTTGCTACACCTCCCATAGGCTAATCAGCACAATATGCAAATTAACCACCCACAAAGATGACGGCTAATTTGCATACTGCAGGCAGGGCGTGTCAGCAACATCCCAACTGCCCCACTGCCACCCGGGCCTGGTATTTGCCACCTAGGGCGGTGGGGCGAGACAGCGCCATCCCACCTGCCCTGCCGCCATCCGGGCCTGCTATCTGTGACCCAGGGCAGCGGGCGTCCCATGTGCAACCCAACTCAGGGCGGCCAGGCAGGGCAGCAGCAATCCGCTGGCCTGCCCAGGTGTCCCGTGTGTGACCCGACCCAGGGCAGCGGGGCAGGACAGTGTGGCTCCTCTGTCACCCCAGTTTCCTCATCACAGCTCACTTGGGGGCCTAAGCCTTTAGTCAGACATTCCCCGAGGGCTCCCTGGCTGCCAGAAGGATGTCTGACTTCAAGCTTAGGCCTGATCCCCCGGGGAGTGGGCCTAAGTCGACAGGTAGACATCCCCCAAGGGGACCTGGACTACAAATGGGCGCAGGCTGGGCTGAGGGACCCCCCCTAAGTGCACAAATTTTTGTGCACTGGGCCTCTAGTCTATATATATAAAAGCTAAGCGACTAGAAGGAATGGAAGGATAGGTCACTATGACGCTCACTGCAGACAGCCAACCAGCCCAATGGGGGCGGGGCCAACCGGCCAACCTCCCGCAGCCCCTCCCCTGGCTTGCCCCACAGATGGGGCCCCTAACAAGGCGGGTCAGCTGGACCCCAGCTGGACCCCACCCGTGCACAAATTCATACACTGGGCCTCTAGTGGTATAGTAATTGAAACAGGAAATTATCATTGATACAATATTATTAACTAATCAAAAGGTCTTAAATTTTGCTAGTTTTCCAACCAATGCCCATTGTCATTCAGGATCTAATCCAGGGTTTCACATTGGATTTAGTTGTCATGTCTCCATAGCCTTTTCCAATCTGAGACAGTTCCTTGGTCGTTTTTTTGTTTTGTTTTGTTTTGTTTTGTTTTGTTTTGTTTTGTTTCCCCCCTTGACACACTTGAAGAATAACTGGTGAGTTATTTTGTGTAATGTCTCAGTTTGGATTCGTCCAGTGTTTCCTCATGACTGGGTAGGTTATGCATTTTGGGCAAGAATACCACATGCAGAAGTAAATAGTTTAGAATGGGGGAGACATTTCTAAGTATGAAAACAAAACACAGAAGTCATAAAAGAGAAGACATACATTTGAATATATATTAAAATGTTAAATGCATGCATGGCAAAAGTTAAAAGATAGATGACAATCAAGGGAAAATAGAATTCATATTGCAGAGAAAGGGCTAATGTTGATACATAACTATCTCCTACAGATCTATAAGAAAAATACCAACCCAATAAAAATGTACAAAAATATGTATGGACATTTTACAGAAAAGAACATATAAACAACTCTCAAATATATTGAAAGATGCCTAACCTCATTCACCATAAAAAAATGCAAATCACCCTGCCTGGTGTGGCTCAGTGGTAGAGCCTCAGCCTACACAGCCAAGGCTTGTGTGTTTGATGCAGGTCAAGGGCACATTCCTGGGTTGCAGGTTTGTTTCCTGTGTGGGAGGCAACCAATTAATGTGTCTCTCTCTCAGACCCATATTTCTCTCTCCCTCCTTCCCTTCCTTTCCATTCTCTCTAAAAAAAATAAAAGAAAATGCAAATCATGTTTAATTTGTATTTGTAATGACCAAAAAGTTTCATAGAAAGTTGGA